TCCTTTGAAAGTTGCCATTATTGAACTCAGGTCATTTATGATCAATTGTCATCAATATTTTCATTTCCCCTTCTTTATCGCTCTTTTCCACAAAGGAATAAGAGATTATGAGTCAAATGTAGGGTTTGAGCTTGATATTCGAAGCATCTTCAAATAGCTTCTTCTATTCTACTTTCTTTTTGCTTCTGTCCTAGCTCTAGCAACTCCTCTCCCGTTACGGGTACAAAGCACAAGAAATTTGCTTCGCAAAGAATTATGATGAGATCCTTGCGATAAACTTTGCTACTGTTATCAATGTCTACACCACTTTACGATTTTTAAGCTTGAGCATTTCTCAAAATGATAAAGGACTGAATTGAGCTGTGGTGCTTGACAAACTTGTTCTTTATGAAAACCAGTCCTGATATTTACTTAGTGAATTAGTTAGTTCTTAACTACCAGCATACTCCCAAATAGCAGGTTTGCTTCAGTGAAATAGTGGATTACCAGATAAGTTTGTGTTGTTTTTTGACTCAACAAGAAGGAAAATTCTGGCAACATACTATGACATTGCGCACCACATAAAACAGATACTTCATAATGTAATGTACTCAGATTTTACAATGATCTTTGCTTTTGTTCACACAATTAAGTCCTTTCGATCTCCTGCAGGTTAGGTTCTCTCAGAATTACTACTCAAGCTGACGATAAGGGGATTGTTACATAGATTTGCTCAAAAAACTGATATATGGGGGTTATTTGCGATACTGATCACAATATCATACTTTCTCCTCGTGATCAATTTTGTCTGCTCAATACAAAATTCATAAAGGTTCCTTTGTTGCTACATCATTGACTCCTTTACCGTTTGCCTACAATTCTTACAGATGATGTAACGTGCAAAATAATACGTTGAATATCTTGTCAAGAAGTGAAGTAATTCTATCGCATGATTTTTCATTTAAATTCGTGATCATTGTCCACTTTTGATATTCTATTAGAGCTTTCTGCGCATAGAAGATTTTCATGACAGTCATGCCAAGTAGCCCCAGCAGGCCATTGAACAAACCAGGAGCTTTTGCGATTAAAGATTTGCTTTTTTTTGCACCTGAAACTTCGTTTTCAGAATTCTATGCGACCCTAAAACATATTCACGAAGAACCCTAGCAGAAATTTTTGTAGAGTGGAAATTCTTCTTTTAAACAGTTTATCCCGTATTGCCTAAAATTTCAAATTTTTTTGTTCTTTTTGAGCAAGAACCGCACGAGTATGTACAATCCAATGAAAACAGTACGAAGTTGCGTTCGAATCTCGATATGCTCCAATTTTACCCTCTCAAACCTATTCGCATCTAAATTATGGTTATCTCGTGTTAGCCACGAAAGAAATAATATCTCTTCCAAAGCTTGCAAGAAAACGGTATTCCTTTCAGAATTATTAAAGATGTCAGGCAAGTCCTACGCCGAAAGAGCACGTAAGTAATTTCATTTTCTTTTTTAGAGATCCGTAGGTCCAAAGGCAATATACCCAGACAAAATGGCATTAGTGTAATTATTATGTCAGGATACTTTCTGCAAGGGAAAGTTAGTCCTCTGCTTACTGAACACTTTATCTGTAACGAGAAGAGAACCTTGCAAAAATTTATTTATACGACCTTGGTACCGAGTGTAAGTCGCAACTTCAAGGTTCACTGTTCAACTACGAAGCATTCTGATAAGAGAGACTGTAGAGATTAGCAGCTGATTCGATACAATCGACTACCAACTCTTATCATAGAATTATTATGAATGTAATAACTTTATAAACGCAAATCAAACATATAAAACAAATGAATTGGTACGATTTTCTGGGAAAATGTGGTAAAACTCTCAAAATTTTAGCACTATTCCATCCATATTCCCGTCGACTGCACCTCGTGATGTTATTGGGATTTGGATTTTGTTGCACTACATTTATGCGGATGCATCTGGCCATAACCATGACATGCATGGTAAATTCGACTGCGATATCACTAATGGAAGAGGAAGTCTATTATCCTGAACATTTCAATAGCACTATTGACTACGAGTTAGTTGAGCAGGTAATGATGATTTTCACTATTCCCTCAAGTCTAAAAATTTATCGAATCTTTCATTTGAGGTCGAATCTGTTATATCAGAACAAAAATGTGAGAGACGAGCAGAAGATGGACATACGATAGTTGTGGATTATGGGGTAAGTTTAAGTTCACTTACTCCTCTGGAAAATATACAACAATGCATATTCAGGGTACGCTGACATGGTCTCATCAAATGCAAAATTTCATCTTTTCTGGGACATTTTGGGGTGCACTCGTCGTTGTAGGCCCATCCACTTTGGTTTATCATCGGTGCTCACCTCGCCTACTGCTTGTTGCAGCAGTTGCAATATATATTGTCTCAACAGCTGTAACTCCTTTTCTAGCCGTGCATTTTGGAACTTATCCCGTTTTCATAGCTCGTGTTTTTATGGGATTTGGAGAGGTAAGTTTTAAAAATTCCATGTCCACATTAGATTCACAATTCACAAAATTTTAGGGTTTTGTTATACCATCCATTAACGCAATGATTGCAAATTGGTTTCCTGTTGAAGAAAAGGGTACGGTATTAGCACTGTATACGACCGGAAATCAATTCGCAGGTACGTCGCAGTTATCTTTCAAAAAGAATTTGCAAATGAATTATTGTAGCAAGCAAGACAAGAAATTTCCAGGTGCCGCTGGAAATCCCCTTGCAGCTGCGTTCTGTGCCTCGTCTCTGGGATGGCCTGCTGTTTTCTATTTCATAGGTGACAATTAATCTGCATTTGAAAAAGATTGAAAGCAAAAAGGGCACACGTACGTTATTCCGCGCGTTTTGAACTTGTCGCCCTTTAAGTCGTAAGAAGACCCTTTCAAGTAAGTCGATGGTTAGACAATCGACGGCGT